CAAAAACTACTGTCCAATCACGTGAATGAGAACTTCTATCTTTTTGTGATAATTATTATCTTTGTCATATATATTTATATCCCCCTAATTTCCATAACTCCGACAAAAAGAAATATGGTCCTATCACACGAATGAGAACTTCTATCGTCTTTGTGATTATTATTATTCTTGTCATATACTCTACCCCAAAACTAATGTCCTATCACGTGAATAACAAGTTCTCTCGCATTCGTGATAATTATTATCTTTGTAATATTTTTACATCACCCTCATTTACATAACCCCGGCCGGCAAAAGAAATATGGTCCTATCACACGAATGAGAACTTCTATCGTCTTTGTGATTATTATTATTCTTGTCATATATTTATATCACCCTCATTTACATAACTCCGACAAAAGAAATATGGTCCTATCACGCGAATGAGAACTTCTATCTTCTTTGTGATTATTATTATTCTTGTAATATATTTATATCACCCTCATTTACATAACCCCGACAAAAGAAATATGGTCCTATCACATGAATGAGAACTTCTATCGTTTTTGTGATAATTATTATCTTTGTCATATATATTTATATCACCCTCATTTACATAACCCCGACAAAAAAATATGGCCATATCACGCGAATGAGAACTTCTATCGTCTTTATGATTATTATTATCCTTGTCATAAAATCCAACCAAAAACTACTGTCCTATCACGTGAATGAGAACTTCTATCGTCTTTGTGATTATTATTATTCTTGTCATATATTTATATCACCCTCATTTACATAACCCCGACAAAAGAAATATGGTCCGATCACGCGAATGAAAACTTCTATCGTCTTTGTGATTATTATTATCCTTGTCATAAAATCCAACCAAAAACTACTGTCCAATCACGTGAATGAGAACTTCTATCTTTTTGTGATAATTATTATCTTTGTCATATATATTTATATCCCCCTAATTTCCATAACTCCGACAAAAAGAAATATGGTCCTATCACACGAATGAGAACTTCTATCGTCTTTGTGATTATTATTATTCTTGTCATATACTCTACCCCAAAACTAATGTCCTATCACGTGAATAACAAGTTCTCTCGCATTCGTGATAATTATTGTCTTTGTAATATTTTTACATCACCCTCATTTACATAACCCCGGCCGGCAAAAGAAATATGGTCCTATCACACGAATGAGAACTTCTATCGTCTTTGTGATTATTATTATTCTTGTCATATATTTATATCACCCTCATTTACATAACTCCGACAAAAGAAATATGGTCCTATCACGCGAATGAGAACTTCTATCTTCTTTGTGATTATTATTATTCTTGTAATATATTTATATCACCCTCATTTACATAACCCCGACAAAAGAAATATGGTCCTATCACATGAATGAGAACTTCTATCGTTTTTGTGATAATTATTATCTTTGTCATATATATTTATATCACCCTCATTTACATAACCCCGACAAAAAAATATGGCCATATCACGCGAATGAGAACTTCTATCGTCTTTATGATTATTATTATCCTTGTCATAAAATCCAACCAAAAACTACTGTCCTATCACGTGAATGAGAACTTCTATCGTCTTTGTGATTATTATTATTCTTGTCATATATTTATATCACCCTCATTTACATAACCCCGACAAAAGAAATATGGTCCGATCACGCGAATGAAAACTTCTATCGTCTTTGTGATTATTATTATCCTTGTCATAAAATCCAACCAAAAACTACTGTCCAATCACGTGAATGAGAACTTCTATCTTTTTGTGATAATTATTATCTTTGTCATATATATTTATATCCCCCTAATTTCCATAACTCCGACAAAAAGAAATATGGTCCTATCACACGAATGAGAACTTCTATCGTCTTTGTGATTATTATTATTCTTGTCATATACTCTACCCCAAAACTAATGTCCTATCACGTGAATAACAAGTTCTCTCGCATTCGTGATAATTATTATCTTTGTAATATTTTTACATCACCCTCATTTACATAACCCCGGCCGGCAAAAGAAATATGGTCCTATCACACGAATGAGAACTTCTATCGTCTTTGTGATTATTATTATCCTTGTCATAAACTCCAACCAAAAACTATACTGTCCTATCACGCGAATTAGAACTTCTATCGTCTTTATGATTAGTATTATCCTTGTCATAAAATCCAACCAAAAACTACAGTCCTATCACGTGAATGAGAACTTCTATCTTCTTTGTGATTATTATTATTCTTGTCATATATTTATATCACCCTCATTTACATAACCCCGACAAAAGAAATATGGTCCTATCACATGAATGAGAACTTCTATCGTCTTTATGATTAGTATTATCCTTGTCATAAAATCCAACCAAAAACTACTGTCCTATCATGTGAATAATAAGTTCTCTCGCATTTGTGATAATTATTATATTTGTAATATATTTATATCACCCTCATTTACATAACCCCGACAAAAGAAATATGATCCTATCGATCGAATGAGAACTTCTATCGTCTTTGTGATTATTATTATCCTTGTCATAAACTCCAACCAAAAACTATACTGTCCTATCACGCGAATGAGAACTTCTATCGTCTTTATGATTAGTATTATCCTTGTCATAAAATCCAACCAAAAACTACTGTCCTATCACGTGAATAAGAAGTTCTCTCGCATTTGTGATAATTATTATCTTTGTCATATATTTATATCACCCTCATTTACATAACCCCGACAAAAGAAATATGGTCCTATCACGCGAATGAGGACTTCTATCGTCTTTGTGATTATTATTATTCTTGTCATATATTTATATCACCCTCATTTACATAACCCCGTCAAAAGAAATATGGTCCTATCACGCAAATGAGAACTCTTATCGTCTTTGTGATTATTATTATTGTTGTCATAAACTCCAACCAAAAATTACTGTCCTATCACGTGAATGAGAACTTCTCTCGTTATTGTGATTATTATTATCTTTGTCATATATTTATATCATCCTCATCTATAACCCTAAACAAAATAATATGGTCCTATATCACGCGAATGAGAACTTCTAGAGAGAGAGAGAGAGAAAGTTGGAGCGAAAGAAAGATGAAGGGTTGATATCATTGACCTACTATGGTGATAGTAAGTGAGAGAGAGACAGTCATCAGACAGACGGACACAGACCGACAGAGAGAGAGACTAACAAGTGATATGGATATAGAAATATGATACAGAAGGGGATGAACGAGGTGATGCGATGAGAAGGAGAGAGAGAGACAGATATATATATATATATACAATATACATCAAAAGAGAATGGTATGGGGTAGAGAAATAAAGAGAGAGTGAAAGAAAATGGGAGAAATAAAGATAGCGAGAGAGAGAAGAGAGAGAGAGAGAGAGAGAAAGGAGAGAAGGGATAGAGAGGGATACAAAAGAGAGATACAAAAGAGAGAGGGGGAGATGAGAGTGATATAGAAGCGACAGAGAGAGTGAGAGAGAGAATTTCAAGGGAGAGTGTTATAACATGGACCTGGTTGTGAGACGGTAGGCGAAGGATATAATTCAATTATACGGAAAGAGAGAGATTAGCCCAAACCATAGCCCAAACACGTGTAGCAATTACTGACCTCTACCAGAGGTCATTTAGCAGGATAAACAAAACGTACTCGTAAACTTACTAAGGGATGATCTAAAAATAAGAATGTGCAGTATACACATGATCGACTGTTCGGGAAAACGTCAAGTCAACCTTATTATTGATTAATCTTCGTTTGTAAGATTAAACGTATCTTCCTTATTTTTAATAAAGAAATGCAAAATAAATAATGTTACGTTCTCTCTATAAATGATTACCCAAACTGTCCCTGTACAAGACTTTGGGGATTATTTTGAGATCATCCCTAAAAAAAAATGTGCTAGGAAATTCTTCGGGCCAATCCGGCACATAGACTAATACACGTACACACGTAACATGTACTATACGTAGGCCTAATACATGCACAGGGATGCCAGATCATTGAGTTCATCACGACCACTTGACTGACTTGACCAAAATACAGGCAATGTGTGCGTTCGTTCACAGAGCTGACGAACAACAATATTATCAAAGTCGAGCCATAACAAATGCATTACAAAGTTGAAAACACAGAAACGATTAAGAGAGGGAAATGGAAAAATGAGTTGAAGAGAACAACACAGAATATTCCGGCCCGCACAGGAAATACATAGACTAACGTACGTAAGTACAATAAGATGGCGGCGGTCCGATCGATTATAAAAATTTATATAGCGATTACAGTGTACAGACAAGTGTTTTTTTTCTTCAAATTTGGGAGACAGTATAAAAATCTTACACTAAGGCAACTCGACTTTAAAATAATTATCTTTATGATTATATATATTGTTTAAGTCTGGTAATATTTTGGTGTCAAAACATGTTAATTACTACACTTTGACAATAGTGCAATATATGTGTTATGCTGTTCAGATGACATGTAAATTTTCGAACTGAGAGGGAGCTATACCAAATTTACCGGGAGTACCGGTAAATTTTTTTATTTTTTAAAATTTTAATTACTCCAAATCAAAAGCTTTTTAGAGCCCAATTTTTTTAGAGTTGGGTGTTCTAACACTATGTTTCACAATAGTAATGCAAATTTTAAATTTCATGATCCAATCCTGATGAAATATTCCCAAAACTTTGTAATACCTTTAATAAGAATTTAATTTATGGATTTTTGTATTGTTTTGCACAGTACAAATTTATGATTATCAAACACAATTTAGGATATATTATATAATATATTTGTAAAGCTCTTAGAGACATTTGTATCAAGCGCTATATAAAAATTAAATATTATTATTATTATTAGGACACTTAATCTGTTGACTACTGAATTCTCTCATTCCTATCTTAATACAGGATCCGACCAGTTAATACAGGATCAGACCAGTTCCATTAGGCAATTGCTTTGAAGAAAACTTAAGTGCATTGACTTCTTACCTGTCTTGTTTGTTTCCAGCTATATCTCTGTCATACAGTCTAGCAAGCCATGGGAAAAGTAGGATGCCTCGATAGCCAAAAATTCTATGCAAAAATAACTGTAAAGCAAAGATTAAAAATAAATGCTTTACAACAAAAATCAAATGATATAAGACACTGCTTGAAATAATGTGAGCATGAGAAATTGGCATCTGCTGATAAAAGGTTAAGATAAGATGGTTCCTTTGAATATACCATCCTAAACTTGGAAGACATTACATTGACAGAAAAATCTGGGGAAAATCTGTCCACATATAGCATTACAGAAAGCCTGTTTATAACAAGCACTACTAACAACATGCACTAACACAAAACATAACTTCACTCCACTCAGAGCCATAGGGTGCTTGCACATAACTTCACTCCACTCAGAGCCATAGGGTGCTTGCACATAACTTCACTCCACTCAGAGCCATAGGGTGCTTGCACATAACTTCACTCCACTCAGAGCCATAGGGTGCTTGCACATAACTTCACTCCATTCAGAGCCATAGGGTGCTTGCACATAACTTCACTCCACTCAGAGCCATAGGGTGCTTGCACATAACTTCACTCCACTCAGAGCCATAGGGTGCTTGCACATAACTTCACTCCACTCAGAGCCATAGGGTGCTTGCACATAACTTCACTCCACTCAGAGCCATAGGGTGCTTGCACATAACTTCACTCCACTCAGAGCCATAGGGTGCTTGCACTAACTTCACTCCACTCAGAGCCAGAGGGTGCTTGCACATAACTTCACTCCACTCAGAGCCATAGGGTGCTTGCACATAACTTCACTCCACTCAGAGCCATAGGGTGCTTGCACATAACTTCACTCCACTCAGAGCCATAGGGTGCTTGCACATAACTTCACTCCATTCAGAGCCATAGGGTGCTTGCACATAACTTCACTCCACTCAGAGCCATAGGGTGCTTGCACATAACTTCACTCCACTCAGAGCCATAGGGTGCCTGCACATAACTTCACTCCACTCAGAGCCATAGGGTGCTTGCACATAACTTCACTCCACTCAGAGCCATAGGGTGCTTGCACATAACTTCACTCCACTCAGAGCCATAGGGTGCTTGCACATAACTTCACTCCACTCAGAGCCATAGGGTGCTTGCACATAACTTCACTCCACTCAGAGCCATAGGGTGCTTGCACATAACTTCACTCCACTCAGAGCCATAGGGTGCTTGCACATAACTTCACTCCACTCAGAGCCATAGGGTGCTTGCACATAACTTCACTCCACTCAGAGCCATAGGGTGCTTGCACATAACTTCACTCCACTCAGAGCCATAGGGTGCTTGCACATAACTTCACTCCACTCAGAGCCATAGGGTGCTTGCACATAACTTTTTGTCACAGGATTAATGCCCTTCTGGCTCTCAGTTTTATTTCTGGTCTAATAAAGTGCTTACTGACAAAACAATAAAGAAAAAATAAAAAAAATAAGGGACACCTAGAATATTCTTATTATTTCTTCAAATTTAAATTCTTAATTTCTTGTTTATATTTCTATGATTCTTACCTGTCCAGTGATATATTTTCCATGTTGCTTAGGTGTTTCTAGTTTTCCAACTGTCTGTAGTTTTCTGAAAAGCAAGAGAATATTACATGTATAAAGCAAGAAAAAAGCAATTCAAAGAAATTTCTACACTAGCCAACTTCTCCTACAATCAGCAAGATTAGAACTAATTTTATTATTACTACCGGTATATAAATCTATGTATCTACCTATTATTTGCTAGTTTACCTGAACTATGCAGCCATCAAGAACATTTGTTGGTCTATTCTAATTTATTATATAATCTCAAACAGAATTTATAATTCTCTCACTGACAAGTTCAGAACACCTAGAATGTTCTCCGTCATAGTAACTTTTAGTTTGCCAGCAGCGGATCTACATGTAGCGTTGTTTTGGCAAAAAGTTAGCCTGTTACCTTCCATTCGCCAACCTTTCGATTCCCAGTAATTTTGCGCACAGCGGATTTGCCGCTAGTGCAGTAAGTAGCCTTGTTGGTAAACTGCCAGGCCGCTAGCTTCCTACCACAGACCATTTGTGTTCCGTGGAGAGTATGGCGGAAGATTTTTCTGCGAGGTATGATATCAGTTTCAAGAACGCACATTACCAACCTGTGCTTGTCACCCATTTAATAGCTATCAAATGAAAATTGAGAGTATGAACGAACTTACGTTTACAATTTTTGTACAAGTATCTGGTCAGTTTTCCACTTATTTCTTAGGTTTTACAGTACCTTAAAAGAAAATTTCTTGAAATTTGCTCCTGACATAGTTCAGACTTATTGTTCGATGTGTTTTGAAATCAATTTTGTGAATATATTTTTTTGTATGAATGTGCCTACCTGCGTTGGCCTTTTTTCACTAATTACTATTATCCTACAGTAATTATCAAATTGGCAATTACAGACCTACCAAGTCTCAAACATCAGATGGGAGAGTTACGCCTTAGGGATCTGTCTCAAGCTCACAATGGCCATAACCATTTTCGATAAAATTGTATTTTAGCATAAGGCCAACAAAAAAATATCATTTGGTTGTCGCTTTTTTAAATATTTTTTATTTTTAATTCAATTTTGTTTTTTTATTATTCAAATAAAAAAATAAAATCTAATTTAATTTTTCTGGGGCGAGCAATCTTAAAAGCCAAACATACCATTTTATACATTTGCAAGGATAAAAATATGTCCCGTTGCCAGTTTGGTCTTTTCAGCACGCAATTCTGTATTTATTAAAGGTAATACAAAGTTTTGAGAAATTTTGATAATTGGGTGGATAGTGATTCTTTACAATTTTGATATATTTGGATGCCCCTGTGGATGTACTATAAGCACTAGCAATTTTAGCCCCTAAAACACTCCTGCTTTCGAGAAAAATTGAATATAACTAGATGGATGATCGACCGCGCGCAGTCGAAAATGATGCCTTCGCCATAGAGCAATTTTTCAAATACAAGTTCGATTGTAATCAATTAACAGGTTCACAGAATATCATAATACAAGATATTTTTCTTATACATGTATGACCCTTTGGTCTTTGATCTTATGACCCTAAAATATAATCAGTTCAATGGCTCTGCAAGATACATACATGTCCCGAGTTTGAAAGTAATCCATTCGTCAGTTCTAATAAGGCGTTCACAAGCTATTTTTGAATACATAATGAGCCCCGTGACCTTTGACATTTGACCCCAAAATCTAAACAGTTCCTTAGCTCTGCTATATATTACATGATCTAATTTTGGCAGGAATACATCAATCGGTTCTTGAGATAACTTGATCACAAGCTATTTTTGCATACATAATGAGCCCTGTGACCTTTGACCTTTGAACTCATGACCCCAAAATCTAATCAGTTCATTAGCTCTGCTATAAGTTTGGCAGGAACACATCAATCGGTTCTTGAGAGAACATGATCAAGAGTTATTTTTGCATACATGAGGCCTGTGACCTTTGACCCCAAAATCTAATCAGTTCATGAGCTCTGCCAGATACATACATGGTTTAAGTTTGGCAGGAATCCATCCATGGGTTCTTGAGATAACCCGATCACGAGAACGAGACGTACGGACAACCCAAAACATAATGCCTCTGGCTACTTCGTAATGGAGGCATACAAATTTACCGGTTCTACCAGTAAATTTTGATAAATTTCAAATAGTGGCTACGGCCATACAATGGTAGCTGCGACCATGAAAATCTCAGAATATGTGGTTGTGGTATATAATTTCCAAACGGGAATAGCTAATCGGACGATTTTAGTCAAGAAACATTGTTTTATAGCTTAAATAATATCTTGACCTTGAGAGGGAGCTATACAACAAAATGATTGACTTGGGCCAAAGTTGCTTGTGTGAAGTTTGAATAAAACAATTGGGATTTGGGTATTAATTTGGTTTTTGCAGATCCAAATAACATCTCTATATATCAAATATCAATGACCATTTTGTGCGCGTGTGTGGGTGTTTGTGACTTTGACCTTTGCAAAAAGCAAATGCAATACATTTCATTTGATACATTCAAATCATTCTGTCACTCTGCTAATCCCAACATAATACATACCATATTTGCCGGTGTTAAGGCCACACCGCCGCATAGGCCGTACCCGAACTTTCACTTTTCAAAGAGGAAAAAAAAAACAAAAAAAACAAAAAACAAAAAAAAAATGTCCTGTACCATAGTGGTATAGTTAGTGTACCGTTTGTAGTCCCATACATGCAAATTCGTGCTGGTTTTGACTTGATTTTTAATTTGTTTTTTACTCTTTCGCCGTAAAGGCCGCACCCCGACTTTTTGATATTTTCTCTTCCGAAAAATACTGCAGCCTTTACGCTGGAAAATACGGTACTGTAGGCATCACTTTGCACAAGTTGATTTTTGCACTCTCGCAAACAATGCCTCCTGTTCAACCGAGTGTGAAGACAAATACTACAGAAAAATGATACCAATTGATTTGGGATAAAAGACTCTTTCATAAGATGTAAAATAATGTACTATTTATAAATGATTTTTAAAAATAAATACCGGGTAGCAATTTGCTAGGTGCAAACTTTTTTTTGAAGCACACGGTACATATAGGACATTTGGAGTTGAGAAAAAAATGATATTTGATCAAAAGTTAGATGGTTCCTCCATACGGACAATTCTTCTTATAGAAGGTTGTTTGCTGTACTATACATGTACATGATATACATATACATATAGGACATTTGTAGTTGGGAGGGGAGGGAGTGGGGAATTTGTTATGGTCCTCTAGCGCTCAGGGTAAATACGTCTTAAAACGACTTGGTGGACGTTCAAGAACACTGTCTAATCTTTAGAAAAAAATGATATTTGATCAAAAGTATTAAAGATGGTTCCTCCATACGGACAAGTCTTCTTGTAGAAGGTTGTTTGCTGTACTATACATGTACATGATATACATATATATATAGGACATTTGTAGTTGGGAGGGGAGGGAGTGGGGAATTTTTTATGGTCCTCCGGTGTTCAGGGTAAATACGTCTTTAAACAACTTGTAGGAGGTTCAAGAACGCCTTCTTGTCTTTGGAAAAAATGATTTTGATCAAAAGTAAGATGGTTCCTCCGTACGGACAACTCTTCTTGAAGAAGATCATTTCCCGTACTCTACGTGTAATACATATTACACATTGGAGTTGGAGCATGGAGGGGAAGAGGGGATTTTTTATTGGTCCTTTAGCCCTCAGGGTAAATACATCTTAAAACGACTTGGTGGAGGTTCAAGAATCTGTCTAATCTTGAGAAAAAAATGATATTTGATCAAAAGTTAGATGGTTCCTCCATACTGACAAGTCTTCTTGTAGAAGGTTGTTTGCTGTACTATACATGTACATTAACATGATATACATATACATGTAGGACATTTGGACTTGGGTGAGGAGGGATTGGGGAATTTTTGATTGGTCCTCTAGCGCTCAGGGTAAAAACGTGTTAAAATGACTTGGTGGAGGTTCAAGAACACTGTTTTATCTTTTGAAAAAATGATATTTGATCAAAAGTAAGATGGTTCCTGCATAACGGCCAAGTCTTCTTGTAGAAGGTTTTTTGCTGTACTATACATGTACATGTTTTACATATACCTGTAGGACATTTGTAGTTGGGAGGGGATGGAGTAGGGAATTTTTGATGGTCCTCTAGCGCTCAGGGTAAATACGTCTTAAAACGACTTGGTGGAGGTTTAAGAACACTGTCTAATCTTGAGAAAAAATGATATTTGATCAAAAGTTAGATGGTTCCTCCATAACGGCCAAGTCTTCTAGTAGACGGTTATTTTCCATACTCTTAGTGTAATACATACAGGACATTTGGAGTTGGGGTGGTGTTGAGGGAGGGGGGAAGAGGGAGGGAGTGGGGAATATTGGATTGGTCCTCTGGCGCTCAGGGTAAATACGTCTTAAAAAGACTTGGTGGAGGTTCAAGAACACTGTCTAATCTTTCGAAAAAATGATATTTGATCAAAAGTTAGATGGTTCCTCTATACGGACAAGTCTTCTTGTAGAAGGTTGTTTGCTGTACTATACATGTATATGTTATACATATACCTGTAGGACATTTGGAGTTGGGAGGGGAGGGATTGGGAGATTTTTAATTGGTTCTCTAGCGTTCAGGGTAAATACGTCTTAAAACGACTTGGTGGAGCTTCAAGAACACTGTCTAATCTTTAGAAAAAAAAAGATATTTGATCAAAAGTTAGATGGTTCCTCCATAACGGACAAGTCTTCTAGTAGACGGTTATTTTCCGTAACCGTTGTGTAATACATACAAGACATTTGGAGTTGGGGTGGTGTTGAGGGAGGGGGGAAGAGGGAGGGAGTGGGGAATATTGGATTGGTCCTTTAGCCTTCAGGGTAAATATGTCTTAAAACGACTTGGTGGAGGTTCAAGAACACTGTCTAATCTTGAGAAAAAATGATATTTGATCAAAAGTTAGATAGTTCCTCCATACGGACAAGTCTTCTTGCAGAAGGTCATTTTCCGTACTCTATGTGTAATACATATCGGGCATTTGGAGTTTGAGCAGGGAGGAGGGGAAGGGGGGATTTTTGATTGGTCCTTTAGCCTTCAGGGTAAATACGTCTTAAAA